ACACACACACACACCTATTGAAGGCTGACAGGGTGCAGTCCCCTTTCCTTTGCAAAAATTGCGATTTTCGAAAAAATAGACTCAGGTACGTTATTGAAATGACCCCTTCAATTGTTTATTTCAATGTGGTTCCACATTTTACGCGTAGTGCCCCGGTGGCCTAGCTAATGGTTATAGCTACCGGATTCGCAATCGTGAGATTGCGGGTTCGGGGGTTCGAGCCTCAGTTCAGTCCGACCTTGTGTTCTTGGGAAAAGCATATCACACGAATTTCTCCTCTTGGCTCAGCCCTTTCGGAGATTCGGAGATGGAGGTTAAACTCAGAGGTCCCGGCTCTTAATGTATGTGTGTGTGTGGGGGAGGGGGGGGGATTACACCTGAAGGTTATCTCGCTTTTTAGAGGACCTAATTATACAACATTTCATACATATAACAACCATGGTAAGGAGTCTTAAAATCCGCAATCAAATTTGAGAAAAAAGTTTCTTTTCTATGGATACCGCGGCCATATTGGATTTTGTTTACATGTCTTACGAAATGAATACAGCACTTATTTTTAATGGAATTTGACTTGGTTTTTTATGCATGTTGGCAAACATTAGATCTGAAAATTTGTGCGTTAATTCTTCCCTAAACGAATTAGAAAATTTTTAATGAAATTTTTCCTGAGGTAGTATTCAAGTTTGCAGAAAATCCGTGAAAATCCACACTCCAGGCACCACCAACAGAAATCTATCCCATATATAAAAAAATTCAACTAACGAATATTTAGTATTATTTCATCTTCTCTTCATTCTGTGAAAATTTCACGAATATTGGATGCAAAATGGTGGAGTAATTTTTTTAAAAATATAGAGAAAAATTGCGTTCTGGGAAAACAGTGGATAAAGAAAAATAAAATATTGACTTTTGGGGGAAATGGTGGTGACAAACATGCCAGGTATGGGAAGAAATAAGGCTTTTGTGGGTTCTTATGCGATGAAATAGTTGTAGGAGAGACTGAGAAAGCAATGCCTACAAGTCAAATTCCATAATTTTGAGCCGAATCCCCACCCCCTTAACCCTATCCGTACGTCGTGTTTTACTATCGTATCCATACGACGTGGGGAACTCTGTGCCACCACTTTCAAAAGAGGAAATTTACACGTTAATCCGATCCGTACGCTTTGCACAGCAGTCTATCAAAATGATTTTTTGAGAAATACTGAAATTTCAAAGAGATCTTCGTACTAGAAGTATTCTAAAATGTGAAGAATACAACCCCGGGGGTATAAAATGACCGCATGGCACACGGATAGGGTTTAATATCCTAAAAGTGTTGATAGGGGCGTTAAACCTAACTATACCATTTCAACCTTTGTTTCACCACATTTTGCACCGTTTTGTAATTAATAATTCATTCCATTCGATATCCCACCAGGCGGCTCCTGTAGCACTGCCCAGTTCCAGTGTCAGAGTGGTCAGTGTGTGGCCTTGACTGATCGATGTGACGGCTTCTGTGACTGTACTCATTGTGACGATGAGTTGTCTGGCTGTGACAGTAACGGTGAGTGGTTGTCCATACGTTGTGAGCACTCTCGATGATTCTGAGGAAATCGAAAGTCGAATCCAATAGTAATGTCATTCGATATCAAAACATTTTAGACCAACAGTTTGGCTTTAATGTGGTATAAATGCAAATTTATTTAAGCATTGGGTAATGTTAGTGGATATTGAAATCTCTTCGATACTTCTACTATGGTTCTTTCGTTTTAATTTCTTATATTATTCTCTCTCTCTCTCTTTCTCTCTCTCTCTCTCTCTCTCTCTCTCTCTCTCATATACACAAACGCATGCACAGCCTCACACACACATAAACACACACACAAACACATCCACACACTTTTTTGTCTTTTCACTCATTCATTCACTCACTCATTCACTCACTCACTCACCCATACACACACTCTCTTCCTCCCCCCACCCCTCATACTATCTTTCTCATTCACTCACACACTCACCCACACTTTTTCTCACTCACTCTTTCACTCTATCTCTCTCGCCCACTCTATCTTTTGTTGTTTTTTTACAGGTTCACACTTTCTTTCTTTCCTTCTCTCTCTCTCCCTCTCTCCCTCTCTTCATCTCTCTCTCTCTCTCTCTCTCTCTCTCTCTC